TAAAAGTTGTTTCTCTATCTGGGCTTATCTCTGTTCTGCTATGGTTAAACTATGAGAAGTATAACTGATCGGGTGACCTTCTTGCATAATACAGGCTCCTAATCCATGTGAAGATGCGTCTACCTGAATTTGGAAATCTTTTGATGTGTTGAAGAAAGTCAGTACAGGAGAAGATGAAAGAACCTGTTTAATTTTTTCCATAGCACTGTTTTGTTTATGGTTCCATGACCAATGTATGTCTTTTTTAAGCAGCTGGCAGAGGGAAGCTGTTATCTCTTACATATTTGGGATGAATTGTCACAGATAGTTGATTATTCCTAAGAGCCATTGCAAATCTGCTTGACATGCAGGCAATGGGTACGCAGATATGGCTTTAGTTTTTCAGGATCAACTCTTATGCCTTCATGACTGATTATGTTGCCAAGATACTTGACCTCAGATACTTGAAATTGTATTTTTTTAGGTTGAATCTGATGTTTCTTTCATAAGCTCGTTGTAGAATTTGTTGGAAAACTGTATTATACTCTGCATCTATTTTAGCTGTAATAATCAAGTCATCGTGGATAGCCAAAACATTAGGGGTATTACGGAAATTAAGTTCTATCATCTGATAGGCAGCATCCGATGCACATGATATGCTGAACGGCATGCAGTTGAATTTGTATTGGCCATAAGGAGTGTTAAATGTGCGTTGCTCTAAAGAAGGTTCATCTAGTTTTATATGCCAATAGCAATCAGCCATGTCTATAACAGTGAAAACTTTGTTGCCGCAAAGTTTGCTAGAAATTTCTTCTGTAGATGGAGTGGTTTTGTATTGTCTTAAAACAGACTTATTTAGTTCTTTCGGATCAATGCATAATCTAAAGGATCCATCTTTTTTCTCTATGATGATCATTGAGTGTACCCAAGGTGTCAGTTTAGAAATTTTCTATATAACTGTGACTTCTACTAGACGGTCAAGTGTGCTTTAAAGTTTAGGTAGGACAGTCATTGGTATTTTCCTTAGTGCATGAATGACTATGATTGCATTTTTAGCAAGTGCAATATGATAATGTTTAGTATTTCAAGAGATTTGCAGTAACTTAGACCAAGAAGTGGTTTTACATCAGAAAGAGATACAACAAAAAACTGACACACTTGTGAAATGTTATTCTTTTTAATAGTGAGGTTGCAAATTCCTAGTACCTAGTATTGTTCCTAGTTCTAGTATTGTTTCCACCATATGATTTTAGTTGAGTTATTTTTTTTGAGAGGAGGTCTTCTAGGAATAGAGTTGTAGACGTTGTATGGAATGACGTTACATTGAGCTCCAGTATCTAATTTAAATGTTATATTTTTGTTGTTGACTGTAGTATTTTTTGTTAAATCGTTATGTTGCAGAGTTATATACTTATCATGTTGCAGTATCATTTCATTGATACTGCAACATGATGAGTATATAACTCTGCAACGTTGAGGTTGAATTTCTTTTGATCAACTTGGTCTACACAATTTGAATGAAAGCAATTAGTTTTGGATGTGAATATTTTAGCAAAATGGTTTAGTTTTCCACATGCTGTGCACTTTAGGCCATATGCTGGGCAAACAAGGTAGTATGTTGTGATCCACAGTAATAGCAAAATTTTTGTGAAGGTCTATCAATCTTTAGGGAGTTAAAATTAACTCTGTTTCCATGTTTGTTTATAGAATCTGTCTGGATTGTATTTTCGAGGGCTTTTAATTTTTGATGTTTCATATGCTCTCCTAAAATTGACTGTTTTCTCTAGATTAAGCTCAGTGTCTCTAAGTAGTCGATATTTGGCAGCTTTAGAGTTGATTCCACAGACTACTCTTTCACGTATTAGGCTTTCTTCAAGGGTTCCAAACTCGCACGTTTTAGCTTTATTTCGTAAATCAATCAAGAAGTTAGTAAATAGTCTGCTGTCTTGCATACATGTATTGAATAAATAACGTTCATAAGTTATTTTTTTTTTAGGGCTGAAATAACATTCAAACTTTTGAACTAAAGGTGTTAATTTATTGTTTTCTTCGATTGTGAAAACAAATGTATCATATACTTTTAAAGCGTCTTTGCCAATCATATGAAGGAAAATGGCACATTGCATATCTTCATTCTTGTCATTGACTCCTGAAGCTATTTTATAAAAATTCCATCTCTGCTTCCATTTTCACCAGTTTTATAAAACATTGCCATTTAAATTCATGGCCTCTAATGGTCTAAGCTGTTCCATTTTATTTGAAACACAGATTTACTTCTGGTACCATGTAATATTCTGAGGATAATTTTAGATTAAGAATTAAATACAACATAAAGTTTAAAGCGTGCAGACCGCCATATTTATTTCAAGTAATAACAATAATACGAGGCATGTGTGTATTATGCCGAACACAGATATTATACTTTTAAAACTGGCATTACCTGAGAAGTTTTTTTTTGTTTTTTGTTTAATAGTAGTTAAAAAGTAGTCTTTTTTTGTTTAATAAAAATATGAAGTTCCTTCATTATATTTCATAATCATCATTTGATTGAATAATAATGATGTCATTTTTCAAATCCAAATCCAATTCATTTACATGTTTCTGACCACTGTAGGCAGATTCAGTATTATATACCAAATTCTTACTACAATGTCAACAATTCTTTTAATAATTGCTGATTTACTGCTTGTATTAAATATTTTATAATTGTCTTTAATAGTAAAAACTAAATTAGGGTTTGCAGGGCCATATCTAGCCATAGTTTGGGCGCTACTGCTTATGACAATTTTCCCAAATGCATTATTGACAGATAAAAACTTATAATTATTGGGCATTCATAGACCTTGTTTACTGATATGATGTAAAAAAAAAATAAAGTTCTTAATTGCACTTTTTATCTACAATGGATAACACTCATTCATAAAATTAATTACATATATAAGTACACAACATTAATAAAGTCTGCCATTATTTTGATTGTTATAAAACGTAACATGGTTAACAATAGTGAGAAGTTTTCTTTCTTTTTATTTGCTTTTATTTAATTTATTTATTATTGGACTTCGTTTAATTTTATGATTTATGGTATTTTTAGTTCAGGCGGATTGGTTTAGATCTCCATACGGCTAAAATGGTATGGAGTTTTAGTATAGAACTTCTGGTTACAGCCCTGATCTGTTAAATAGTGTGACACATTTTGAAATGTTGTTCTTCTTTCTTTAATACAGTATATTCTTTATTCAGTGCAATTCTTAAAAATGAATTTTGGTTACTTAATTTATCAAGCATAAATTTTAATCTAAGATCAATTGTATATACATTAGTTTTTCAGTGCAATAGAAAACTAATTATTTCCCTTAGTGCAATAATTCATTTTCCTTTTTCATTCATTTTATTATTGATTGGTTTAGTTAACTTTTTCACTCTTCTTTTAAACTTTGTTTCGAGCCATTAAAATAACATGGTTGCTATTTCTGGTTTCATTGCAAAGAGTCAATGAATAAGTAGTTTATTTTCAAAAAAACGAATAGCTTAACAGTTTGATAAATAATTAAATGGCTGTGTATTTATTAATTAGTATCAATCAATTTAATATAGGTTTTTTAAAGAGTTTTTCATTTTAAGGTCATTTAAAGTCAGTATAAAGTTTTATGTAATCTGTATATAGTATAATGTAATCTGAAATGAACACTCGATATGAAATCAATGTCTTTGATATCATATCTAATATAAACAAATCTGAAAGTAACTTCTCTGATTATTTAGTAATAATAGATGAAAAAATATTTATAAATAATATAAAATGAAATTAACTTAAATAACCTTATAATTGCCGGTTTTCATTATTTTTATTTCGATGTCTACAACTACACTAAATAAATATACAAAAAAGCTGTCAAACTAAATGTTTTTGAAATAATACGGCACAAACAGTAGTTTATAAGTGAAAATATTTTATCACACAAATTCCTGCACACTTTTTCAATCTTTTTTCTCAAATAGTGCCTAAAAATTTTTAAAAATTTGATTATATATATTATTTAATATATTTTTGCTAAAATAATGCAAGAAAAATAAATTTTTTTCTTTTTATATCTGAATACTCAAATTTCTGATTTTGTTTGAATAAAAATTTTTTAACACTGAGTCCAAATTTTCAGAATAATTGCAATACATGAAAATTTAATATTCAGAATTTCAGCTGTGTGCAATTGCAATAAATTTGTATATATTGTGATTATTTGAGGAGCCCGTCTGCAAAACGCGCTAAAACAAGCAAAACGCGCTAAGTCACAAAAATAAAAATTTTGATTTAATTCTATTTCCACCTTCTATATACTTAAATCTATCATCTATTTAAATATTGGACTAATTAAAAAATTTTTGGTCCTAAAAATGATTAAAAAAAAATCAATTTCTATTGATGCGCAACTAAAAGTAGTTTAGTTTATTGTTTTCACAAAATCAGTTTACTCAGACTTAGCGCGTTTTGCAAATAGGCATGCGCGTTTTCAATTCATTTGTATGTATTGCAATAGATTATTTTAAAATTTTGGTGCTGGAAAAATAAGAGGAAGTTTAGAAATGATAAAATTAAATATTTGGGTATATTTTTTAAAAATTCAAAGCTTAGCATGGTTTGAAAACTTTCTTTTCAAACCATGTTGAGCTTTGAATGTTCTTTTAATACCCTTTGCAGTTTGAAGGACCCATTTATGTATGTGTATGTATGCCTTTATTTAAGAGAAATATTTCTTAATACCATGTAGTGTAAATTAAATATTTTTTAATTACGAAGTAACCAAAAAAATAACTATTTAAAAAATTTTTTTTTTTTTTTTTTTTTTTTTTTCTTGCATGAGCATTGTATCCTTGCACCCTTTGTATCATTGCACCCTTTGTATCATTGCACCCTTTGCAAATCAGAGGACCCATTTATGTATGCGTATGTATGCACCTTATTAAAAAGTAGTATTGTCAATTTTAATACCATGTAGTATAAAGAAAACAAACATGTTTAGCTTGGAGTAGAGCTCTAAATGGACTCGTTGCTTGTGATCCAAGTCCGCACTTTAAAGTTTTACGAAAACTAGCATCATCATCTTTAAAAATTTATGCAGAAGGATTGGTTGGAATGGAAAAAAAAGCTGCAGATGAATACAGTCACTTGAATAAAAAGCTTCAAACTATGAATGGAAAACCAGTTTCTTTGCAAAATATGATAGGTAAGTTAATAAAAATATTTAATATATTAAAGTTTAGTATATTATTGTTCTTAAATACTTCTTGTTTGTTTATGATGATTAATAAAATGGTTAGGGGTGAGTTTTATAACCAAATGCCTTTCCTTTTTTTAACATATGATTATAGATCTATAAATTTTATTAAAAAAACCATAAAAGTTGATGTTGTGTCATTTATTTTCAAAGTTTATTTCTTGAATATAAAATTAGAACTACTAATCCTAAATCCCTTAATAAAACAAAACAAAAAATTAGTAAAACTGTTGAAAATCAACAGCAAAAGTGGTTAAAACTAACTTAAATGAAAAAATTATATGCATTTTTTTAAAATTGATTGTAGCATAAATTTTTTTTTAATATTTGGTTTTCAATGTTAGATACATTTATTTGCACTATTTTAATAATTAAAAATAAATAAGTAGAAATTGAAAAAAAGGAGGTGACCCACAAAAAAGGAAGGGAGTTTTGGCCTCAAGCCAAAACTCCTTTCCTTTTTGTGCATAATTCTTCTAATTATGCACAGTGCTATTTAGAATTATAATATAATTTTTTCTTCACTTTTTAAGCAGCTCAGACTATGTATAAACTTTAGGTTGTGTCTTATTTAACTTAAACTTGCAAATAGCCCCAAATTTTTCTATAGGGCGTATTTATGAACAATTTAGTGGCTGGTGATCTTTAGGTGTAATTTCAACGCCTTTTTTTTGTTACTTTTGCTTTAGCATAGTGACAGCTTGTTAAATCAGACCAAAATTTTACAGGAAACATTAATAGATTTTATAAAAGGTAGAATACGTTTTTTTAGGCACTCTTTTTTTAGAGTTTGGCATTCATCGTCTTTGAGGTTACAAATGGCTGACATTACCTTAATATATATATATATGTATATATAAATATAATATGTATATGTATATGTATATATATATATATATATATATATATATATATATATATATATATATATATATATATATATATATATATATATATATATATATATATATATATATATATATATATATATATATTGGTAGCTCAATTTTAATTCTGCATATTGTATAATATTGCAGGATTTGGAGGCAGTTAAAATATGATTACTCTCTAAATTTTAGAGATTTTGGATGAAGAATTGCATGTTGATTTAATTTTTAAGATACGCAAAAATTGACGTTTGAAATATGTTCATATTTAGTTTTTTTTTAATATTGTTTGCATTGCTGAATAATTATTTTATAATAATAAATATATAATAATTTTAAAATAAAACTTTTTATAATAATAAATATATAATAATTTTAAAATAAAATAAAGTTTTTATAATAATTTATAAAATTAAGCTAAATTTATAGCAACTTGTTACCTATTTGAAGATTTAAATAGTGAAACTTTTATTCTTATATTTACATAAGAATATCAAAATAAACATTTTCACAATTTAAAACATTTTGAACAGGGATATATATATATATATATATATATATATATATATATATATATATATATATATATATATACATATATAAATATATTTTTTTAAATTATCTTCGCTTCCAACAAGGCTGCAAGCGACCACTAATTAGTGTTGGAAGTTACTGGAAAAGAAAAGATGAAGATTGTAGAGCAAGATAACGATTGACAGACGACTTAAAAGATTGCAAATTATATGAATCAGGAAAACAAGATGAAGGAAGCGAATTCCAAAGAACTGATGTTCAAGGAAAAAAACTAGAGGAATAAGAGTTTTTGGAGCACTTAGGAACAGTAACAGAAAAAGGATGAGACTTAATTGAATAACGAGTAACACGAGATTGATTTTTAGTAGATGCCACAAGAGACGCTAGCTCCTTCGAGCAGTGCCCATTATAGTATTTGTAGAAAAGAGAAAGAGAAGCAACATTACGACGATGTGACAAAGGTTGAAGGTTGGCTGCAAGAGCAGGTCCAGCTACGTTTACAATGCGTTTTTGCACCTTGTCTAAAAGAGAAAGGGCATCATTAGAAGATCCGCCCCAGATATGGCAACAGTATTCCATACAAGGCCGGATTTGAGATTTATAGAGATAGAGAATAGAATCCAGAGTAAGAAAGTGACGAGCTCGATAAAGAGAAGCAACTTTAGCAGATGCTAATTTTGCAACGGATTTGATATAAGGTTTCCAAGAAAGATCAGAAGTAAGAGTTAATCCTAGAAGATGAAGGGTAGGAGACTCATCAAGTACATTACCGTTCATAAATATAGGAAGGTCTAAATTATTGCGATAACGATTGGCCGAAAAAAATTGAGTTTTATCTGAATTAAAGTTCACCAGCCACTGTGAGCCCCATGCTGTAGCAGAAGTGAGATCCTTTTCAAGTTCAGATGCCCCCTGCAAGCAATCAGAAGGAGTTGGCTTTTTATCGTGACAAGAATAAATGGTAGTATCATCAGCGAACAATGCCACCTTAGATGTGAGAATATCTGGAAGATTGTTATTGTAAATTAAAAAGAGCATAGGGCCAAGGATTGAGCCTTGGGGAACCCCTGAGGTTACAGAATAGGAAGAAGAGTGCTGTCCATCAAGGACAACTTTTATACTACGATTGGAAAGAAAGGATTCAATAATCTTAAAGATGTTTCCAGATACACCGTAAGAAAAAAGCTTATGGAGGAGACCAGCATGCCAAACTTTATCAAACGCTTTAGAAATGTCAAGAGCAATGGCCTTAACCTCTCCACCTTTATCTAATGCGCGATAAAACCTATCGGTTATTACTGTTAGCAAATCAGCTGTAGAACGAGAAGATCGAAATCCATATTGATGATCAGAAAGTAGGTTATGAGATTCGAGATTAGAGATTAAGTGTTTGTTAACTAAAGATTCAAAAATCTTGCTTATGATCGGAAGAAGACTAATGGGACGGTAGTTAGACGAATCAGATCACTCTCCAGAATTTTTAAAAATAGGGATAACAGATGCTGCTTTCCAGCAGGCTGGAAAACAAGACTCTGATAAGCACTTGTTAAATAGTTTTGAAAGGATAGACGACAACTCCGGAGAACACTTCTCCAAGACTATAACAGGTATGTTGTCCGGGCCGCAAGCTGTAGAAGTGTCTAAGCGGGAAATCACTTTAGATACAGAGGCTGGAGTGATACGAATGTCGAGCAATGGATCAACCTGTTTGACGGCTATATCAGGTAGAATGCAACTAGTGGCATCAAGAGATGATATTGATGAAAAGTTCTTGGCAAACAATTCAGCTTTGTCTTTAGGTGAGGTGACAAAGTCTGAACCATACAAAAGAGGTGGAATTACAGACTTGCCCTTATTATTGATACTATTAAAGATTCTCCAGAAGTCACGAGAGTCTAATTTTTGTGATGAAATACGAGATTTCATGATCTTAGAATAGCGGGCTTTGGCGTTAGACAAAACCTTTTTACAATGGTTCCTAGCAGTAATAAACAGGCGTCTGTTTTCTGGAGAATTGTTTTGCTGATAGATATGGAAGTAATGGTTTCAATTGGCAATTGCAGCAGCACAATGTGAGGAAAACCATGGAGAAGAGTGAGGCTTGACCTGGAATCGTTGAGAGGGAATAAAGGATTCCATGTGAGCCTGAATCCAGGAAGTTATGTAAGAAGCACATTTGTCAACAGGGAGGCGAAAGATTTCTATCCAGGAGCCATCACGAAGAAAATCACGGAAATAGTCCCAGTCAACTTTAAAGTAGTTGTAAGATGTACGATGATAGGGGGATTCTGATGGTAAAGAAGAATGAGATAATAGTTTTAGAGAGACCAAACCATGATCAGAAGCACCTAAGGGTGAGTGTGAAGAAACTGAGCACTGACTAGGATCAGAAACAAGATATAAGTTGAGTATAGAAGGTAAATGATTCAGGTTGTTTGGAAAGCGAGTTGGATAGTTGACTATTTGAGTTAGGGATTGAGAAAGACAAAAGTTGTGGGCCTTAATGCCTGCAGAGTCACTGACACTAGAGCCAAGCCATTCAGTGTGATGAACATTAAAGTCACCGACAACAACAATATTGGCTGATGGATAAAGAATGAGGGCTTGGTCAATATAATCAGAAATAACATCAAGAAGAGTGCAGTCTTGAGATGAGGGAGAGCGATATAGAACAAAGAGAAAGGTGATAGAGTGAAGTGGTGCTAAACGAAAGCACATAAAAGAGTAGTCTGTGGAGTCAAACCTAGTTTCCCGACAAATGGGTGAATTCTTACGAATGTAAATGCCCAGGCCAAGCATGTGACTATTGGAGTCTTTACAAATTAAAGGAAGATAACCATCAACACTAAGATCACAAGATGAGACAACTCAAATTAGTATCACAAAGAGCAAGTAGGTCTGGTGAACTTTGCAAGAGATAAGACTCAACAGAAGAAAAGTTACTTCGAAGACCACGAATATTTGTGAATGATAGGTTTAGCAAACTTGGTGATGACTGTGGTTTTTTGTGTTTTACAGTTTTTGTTGCTTTATTCATTTTTAAATTTGTTAAAGAACTTGACTCGAAACATAGATAGTACACTCAGTACACTGTTTTATAGCTCAAGCAATTGCCTCATTTCCACTAATAAACCCTAAGCCGTAACAAAGGGCTCCAATGTGGCCTTGGCAATGCACACCAAAAGTACAAACAGGGACACCATCCATGCGCAACATGGCACTGTTAGTACTCTGATATTTTTCAGCTGTTGATGGAATCAGCCTCTCTGAGAGCTACCACAGAGTTCGGGAAACCTGACTACCAGCCGGCCTCAGAACCATAAAACTGAGTTTTAGAGCTGTACCCTCATTTGGTGATAATAGAATGAGTTGCCTAGTCATAAAAACAGAGACACAAATAAAACCCATGAATCGAGTCAAGAAGATCCAGCGTTCAACATCCTAAACTGGAAACAATGTATTAAAAATACATCTGCGCCAGCCTAATAGATGAAGAAGGGGTGCGAGGCTAGTCAACAGATAGAATCT